CACACACACAATGGGTGTTAAAAATCTCTAAATCGAAGTCAGATGTCCAAAGCGCTGTTTATGTTGATGTTTAGTTCTAGTTTTTTCTCTTTCTTCCACATGCATGGCTATATTTATGTCCCAGAACCAGCTAACAGCTTTTTGCTTCTTCTTTAATTCTAAAGTAGAAAAAAAGAGAGAGAGGGGGGAAAATACAAAGAAAAACAAAAAGAAACCACGGTCCAAGGACCACAGTGGAAGGGGTGGGGGTATGATCCTCCCTAGGTTGGCAGAAAACAGAACTTCACTCTAAAAGCGAGTTGGCGTCCTTGGGTATGCTTTGGTGTGTTTGTATTTGCTGTGAAACAATTCTCGTCACTTTACAGGAAGGTATTTAATAGAAAAACGATGGTATTTTATTATTCCCAAGTAAGAGTTTCTTCAGTTCTGTGCAAAGGTATGATAACAATATTTTATGATAACAATTTTATTAAAAAAATTTCAAGATCTAAGTCAGTTATATGGAAATTTTTTAGGTATGGGGTGAAAACATTAGTGGGCAATGAAACATCTAATCTAATATACATTATAAATGCGAAAGTTTGTGAGTATCTTTGTGGGTCTTTCACGCAAAAACAACTGAATGGATTTTAATGAAACTTTACAGTAATATAGCTTATACATCAGAATAACACATAGGCTAAAATTTATAAAGATATTGTGAGAAGTTTTCAAAATATAATGACAATTGTCAAGAAAGTAGGAAAAAATTCTGCCATTTGCAAAAAAGCCCGTGACAGCATCCATCTATCTTTTTTATCCCTTCTGTTTTGTCTACGCCATCCCTCAGTGCGCTTTCGCTTTTCATTGATTCCCTTCATCAGTGTCATCACTGTTTTTGTTTCATAATAAAACTAGATTTCGAAGGGAGAGGTGGTGGCAAGATTTTAACATTAAATAAATACAACAGAAAGTAATATTAATGTATTACACTTCATGATGTAAATTATTTATACTATTTTAAGCGATCATTACACAAAATTTGTAACTATGACAGTGGAAGGAAAACTATGAAATTAAAATAAAATATCAAAGGTTTTTATTATTTAGTTTTTTTTCTTTTGAATGTTTTTTTTTTTTCAGTACATGTAAATATATATCTACGCTTCCCCATACTGTTTTTTTATAACTGTATTATATATATATATATATATATATATATATATATATATATATATATATATATATGTTTTTTAAAGTATTTCTATTAATTCATTACTAAATTAATTATTTGTTAATAAAAAAAAAAGTACATTGTCTATTATTTTGGATTTTGGATAATAATACATTTCAGAGACATTTTTAAGCTAACTAAAGAATCGTTTTTCTTTTATTGCTTCACATTAATAATTTTTTAACTAATGCAATATTGTTTTTAAAAGTCATAGATCGAAATTTGAAGCTATATTTTATCTGTGAGGGGAGGGAAGAGGAAACAGTAATTTTACACTAAAAAACCGTGTTATGCCGGGCTAGAGGGAGGGGAAAAACCTGTCTTAAATCGAAAATATGTGGAACAAATTTCTAAAAAGGGAAATTTAATGAAATAATTTTAGAAATCACTCACATTGCGTGCGTACAAACACACACATAATTGCTGGCGTCATGAGGGAAAGAGAAAGCCCGTGCAAAGCCGGGCCATGCAGTTACTATATATTATAAATGTGAAAGTTTGTGAGGATGTCTGTAGGTATTTCACGCAAAAACAACTGAATGGATTTTAATGAACTTTACTGTAATATAGCTTATGCATCAAAATAACACATAGGCTATAATTTATAGTATGGGCTATAATTTATAAAAATTTGTAAAAAGTGTCCAAAATATAACGATATTTGTCAAGTAAGTAGGAAAAAAATTCTGGCATCTGCCAGCAAAATCTGGCTTGCACTGCAAAAAAGCCCACGTCAGCATATATCTATATTTTGTTTGTGAAAAACTCTTTTTGTTTTGGCTACGCAAGGAGCTCGCTTCTAATTAATCCCTGTGATCAGAATAATGTATTTTTTTAATTTCAGAATAGAACTAAGTTTTGAAGGAGAGGTTGTTATAAATCTTTCTTTATTTTAATTTTTTTTTATGTTTTTATTATGCATATTCAGTAGTAAGAAATTAATCTTTTTTTGAAAATAAATGCTTTTATCGGTTCTGGTACTTAAAGTAAATAAACTTTCTCTTTCACACTGCATCATTTGGACAAATTTTCAAAATTTGTTTGTGGTTAGTAGTTAATTATAACGCTATAATTTTAATTGAATAGGCAGATATTGCGTTTTTAAGTATAAAAATAATTATAACTACTGTACTGTATTTTTTGGAGTGTGTGAGTGAGTGAATATTAACATCGCACTGTTCAGCTATACGAGGGCTTTTGGCAACGTATCACGTAATTTTGAACCATGGTCAAGTGACGTGGACGACACCTGAGCTGGCAACCTCTTTTCCTAACTACCACACCACACCAACTTAGAAGGAATATTTTACCAATATTTAGCAGAAATATTCTTTGAAATCCACTCTTCCAAGATATATGGCAGCACGGTTTCTATGATGAGTATTTTAGCGGGGAAGCCGAATAGTTTTGTAGCAGATATTTCGTTTTCAGCTGACGGCGTTTTCAGCGGATTGAAAAGATTATTATTTTTGTCCCGAAAAAAATAGTTTGTCAAAATTTAAGTGTCTTATGATTTTGTATGTTTGTGAAGACCTTGGAAAATGATTTGACTATTTATTTTAAGTGAACGGTGTACATAATTAATTTTACAGTGGAATATCCTTAATTAATTTATTAGCTCTAACGGATTAAATTTTCCAAAGTGGAGTATTTTGTTTATGTATATCCCTTAATTTGTAAATGTAGTGATCCAAAAAAATATTGTATGAAAAAAACTGCAGTAAATCATAATGCGGTGGATAAATTATTAACGTGCATCGCTTCCCTTACACGGCGGGTCTTACAAAGATCTAATAAAGCTCGGGCTACGAAAGTAGCTAGGCATTTGCCAACTTTACTCTATCGTTAACATTTCGCTATGTTTTTCATTGAATCGCCATTATAATTTAAAAAACGGCGTTGCTTGCGAATATTAGAATTTTAAAATAAAATAAATACTACAGAAAGTAATATTAATGTATTACACTTTCAGATATAAATTATTTACACTACTTTAAGCGTTCATTACGCGCAACTTTTAACAATGTGTTACTTTTGCTGAGCAGAGATCAGCTTAGGGAGGTATTTTGAAAAATCGACCCTCAAGAGTGTTACGAGGAATTATAAATAAAAAAATATCCTTTTTAACAGCTATTAGATCTACATACTTAAAATTTAACAAAGGTGTGTTTTTTTTTGTTTAGCTGAGATATGCAAAAACCTTTTTTTGTTTAATTTGCAATTCACATAAAATTAACTCATTAAAAACTTCTTTTTCCTTCAATTTGTGTTGTTTAATTTTTCAATTCACCCGTGCGAAGAACGGGTATACCAGCTAGTTTATTATAAAACGCAATAAAAACTAAAAAAATAATATATTTTGAACTTTTTTTTTAAAAACTATCACATGAAGGAAGTTGTTACTTTATATATTTCCTGGGTTTATTTTAAAAAATTTAAGTATAAAAAAAATTAAGGTACACATTTAACAACTTTATGCATATTATTAGAGTGGATTTTTTTTTGTACGCATACAAGTTTTTAAATGAGAGAGAGAGAGAGAGAGAGAGAGATAATTTTTTATACAAATTCTTTGTATTTTCCATATGCAGAGAATATTTAAAATTCTATGAACATTTTAGCGTGTGTAAAGAAAGGGAACATGCCCTTGAATGAAATTTTTTTTTCTAAATTTGAATTGAAAATTCTTGTACAAGGGCTTCGGTATCTACGGGAAGCCCGACAGAAACTTTTGACTGGCGCTGCACCTGAGTGAGTGAGCGAATATTAACATCGCACTGTTCAGATACACGAGGGTTTTTGGCAGACCTCGTAATTTTGAATCATGGTCAAGTGACGAGGACGACACCTGAGCTGGCACCCCCACTCCTAACTACCACAACACACCAACGGAAGGACGTTTGAGCTCTCAACAGATTTAACGTTCATCCTTTCCCTTACACGGTGGGTCTTTAGTGGTACTGGGCTCGAACTCATAACATGCCAGCCACGATCCAATACCTTGACCACAAGGCTACTGCGGCCTGGCTGCAACTGAACTAAGGGCCGTAATTTGTCCTCTGATCCAGGCAACGGTCAGGTCCAAGAAAACTAAACCACTTGATACGTTTTGTACTGTTAAATTATTTTCAGAGACATTCCAAAATTACAGAGTTTCACATTTTATAAGCAAATTATTGCAGTATTAATGTAACAAAGCTATATATATATATATATATATATATATATATATATATATATATATATATATATATAAAACCTTCACAACAAATGCATCAAACAAGTGTCTTTTTGTAATTCATGTTTTTACTCAAGAGCCATCGAGCGAAGAAAAGGAGACTGTTGCGTGAAACTTGATATTTATGTCATTTCATAGTGTAGCATAAAAACTATGAGATGAGGATACCTGCTGAAGTATCCCCCTCTCCCCCACCATCACTTGGCCCAGGTTAACATTTGAGTATCCGCCGTATAAATATGTTTCAAAACAAGTAATTAATATTTCAAATTTTTCAAGGTCAATTTCTACTTAAATCACCAAAGAAATTTTTATTTTTTATAGTTACTTTTTATAAAATATTTAAAATTAATATAAATATGTATATACATATGACAGAATCACAATATTAAGTGGCAGAAAGCGATTTTCCTTGCAATTTACCATTTTCCTTTCAATATATGGTGTTGGACTATTATTTTTGTTCATTACTATTTATTCAGTAATTAAATTTAATTATTTGAATAAAATAGTACAATAGAAAGTAAGTTACATTCTTAGAAATTAAACCATCCCAAATAGAATTCGTACCCACGACATTTGGATTAGAAATCCAACGAGCTATCCATTGCGCTATTTTTGTTTGTTACTATTTATTCATTAATTAAATTTAATTAGTGAATTAATATTAGAAAAACCGTATTAACATCAAGCGTTATCCATCAAGTTTACAATAATGTATTTGAACTTGAGTGGATGAATAAAAAGTATTTTATTAACCATTGAAAATTTGAAAAAGATGTATATATTTATATATAAATTAATATATATAGGAAGAGTGTGAACTAATAGTATGAATTGATTTAATGTATCTGTCACGAATATGATTCAAAATTATGTCAGCCGCAAATGTGGCAAGATTACGATGGCCGTCTTGTGTTTCTCTAGCGCCTTTATAGAATTATCGTAGATTTTCTGCATATTTATCTCTTACATTTAATTATTAATTTTATAATCCCCTTTTAAAAAGAGAAATACTTTTATAAATATCATTAAAATTTTTATTAGTAATTTATTGACTATTATGATTTTTAAGTATGATCGTTATTTGTACTGTATGATTATGTGTATAGTTAAATGTCAACTTTAAAAAAATAATTTGAAATACATTTACCTCAAATGAAACATGAATATAGAATTTTACTAAAGGTCTGTAACTCAACATTCTTAATAGTATAGTTACATAGTTGTATTTTTAATTACTATGTCGTATGTTTATACATTTTCAAATATAGAAAACACACTATGAAAAAGTGAGTAAAATTTGATGAAGATTGGGTATAACTAATAGAGAATGCATGTAAAAATAAGAAATTTGAATTTCAAAGAAATAATTCTACATGGCAGTTGAATATACAGGTTAGTCAGTAGGAAATAAGCACAACTCTCTCCCTCTTTAAGGCATTTATGAAATAATCATGCACATGGGGTCCTGTAGGATGGAAAGCAAAACGTGATACTAGTAATAAAGCATCTAAAAAGTCGGAAATTTAAAGCAACGACATATGCAAAAAATGAACATTTTAACACAGACGCACATCATGAGCTCCTGTAGAATCACAAACAAGTGCCTTGAAAGAGAAAACGTTAAGTCATTTTGAAGTACAGGAATTCCATTTTCGTGCAGTTGTTTTACAAGAGAACCTTCAGTATTCCTCAACGAATACAATCGTCATAAGAACGCATTTCTGATTTCAACCAAGGGAGGAAGAAATAAACAAGAGAAATTCTCCTGAAAAGCTTCATAAAGTGGAATCTAATCTAGCAGTTCAAGGACTTAGGCTTAGAAATCGCAACGCTGCCACCATGTACGGATGAAGCCATCATGAGGCTGTATACAGAGCTGGGATTCGTTTGAAAAGACAACGTGACGCCGTTTTTATCTCCAGGTTCATCGCTAATCATACCATTGGAAGCGTGCCTGCCTGTGATGCAGCATCAAGGGTATCTGAAGCTATGGTCGGCGTGTTTACAGTCCATGATACTGCAAACGTTGTTCCACACTGTCTAGCAAGACACTTGTCGTTCTGAAGACTAGCCTATTTCCTGATTCAAGGGTTTTGACGTGACTTAACGATCTCTGTATATGTTGCAAGGCTGACTATAGAGTCCCTCCCCCGAACGCACCAGTTTCATATTTTGATGGCAGTCATGGGATGTCAAGCAACTTTAGCAGCAGTAATGCGTTACGATAAAGGACAATCATGGTTGGTTTCGATTCTATCTCAATCAAAACCAGACACGCATTAGTAGGCATTTATCCATCTTTTTGATAAATTTCTATAGCAGCAATACTACGTTACGATAAAGGGCAATTGTGGTAGATTTCGATTCTATCTCAATCAAAACCAGACACGTATTATATAGCAGGCATTTATCCTTCTTTTTGATAAATTTCTATAGCAGCAATACTACGTTACGATAAAGGGCAATTGTGGTAGATTTCGATTCTATCTCAATCAAAACCAGACACGTATTATATAGCAGGCATTTAAACTTCTTTTTGATAAATTTCTATACCAGAAAACTCTAGCAGCAATACTACGTTACGATAAAGAGCAATCATGGTTGGCTTTGATTCTATCTTAATAAAAATCAAGCACGCATAAATAGACATTTATCCTTCCTTTTGATAAATTTCTATCTCAAAAAACTAATGACGTTTAAATGTAATTTCTGTGCGAGAATCCTGCTGTACAATCTCTTCTTTTATTCACTGTGTGGTATGGGACACACAACACTTTTATACTAACTCAGTCTACTTTGAATAAATGTGTAGAAAAGAGATAATAATTTGCATATCACAGTCTGTTCTATCTGTCATAAAAAATTCACATGTGTGGTATGAAGTCCACTTAGTGTAGCGAATTCAAAGGCCAGTAATACATAACGGACAAGTAAACATCTTAATTAATCGTAATGTTTCTTGGATGTCCTTGATCAGGCCACCTCTGTGTGAATTTGATGTAATTAAGCGGATATAGGTTTGCATAAAATACTGGGAGTTACATTTAAGTCTACAGCAATCTGTATTTGAGATTGCTCTGTCTCGAACCACCCGGTAATTTGTCCCTTTATTATATTATTATGGATCGACAGACTAATTTTAACTTTGCTTTTGAATTTTAGTGAATGTGACTCGCAAACTATAAGCATAAAAACTGATACTTTGCACTTTTTTAAATGAAGCCCATACGTACGCTTACGTAATCCCACTAAAAATTTGCTTGTTTATTTACATGGATTAGTTTTATGCAACATTACTGTTATATTGGAGAAAGCTGTGTGACTTACATCAACATTTAGATTTTTTTTTGTTCAGAAAATGTGAGATATTTTGAAATCTACATTGTAAATTTTTCTCTAGTCTCTTAGGGGATAATAGCCTTTGATGCTCCATATCCCACAAAACCTGTAACTGTAACTGCATCTGATTAGTTTTATCTTTTATTTAGCGCCTTTTGAGAAATTCAACTAGATAATTAAATTCTCTTAATTTTGAATATAAATATCGTAATTGAATTAGTAAAGATATTTAGTTATTCAAAAAGCCTTTTCTTTTTTGAATCATTAAAATGCTTCACGCTGAAAAATTTTGCTTTAACGCCTCCAAATCACTTCGAGGGAGGAGAAATTTTCTTTGTAAAAAAGTCAGGAAATTCCAATATGGTACTGAAAGTAATTTTCATTCTTCATATGATACGCTGGTTGCGAAAGGGTTAGCGATTATTAGTTACATGATAAAGCTCAGGTCCCTAGGCATTTGTTCATCGCATCAATTTCGAATTTCTGAGTATTTATTTGTCAGCTGTTAAAATTTTTATTTCAGGGTAATTATTTCACATTATATTGAATTAATGTTTTTACGCAGTTTGTAACGAGGAAAAAGATTTGTTAAATGTTGGGTAATTAAACCTCTGAATTTAAATTTCGTTTATGGAGGCTTGATCCTATTTGTATAATTGCCTTTTATCCCTTAATTTAATTTCTTTTTTTGCGATTTGGGAACGGCAGCTATCTTTATGAAACGAGGAATTTTAAATAATGAGATTAGATTATTTTGTAAATGATTTATTGCCATATATCTCCAACTAACTGCTGAATAAAAAGTTGTTTATTTTAAGTATTACAAGTAAGGGTTTTTTTTGTATGAGTATTTTAAATATTATATACAGATCTATATAGATTTTAAACGCAAGTTAAAGCCTTTCATGGGAAATCTGTGTATTTATACTTTTCTCTGTAACTAATTATTACTTTTATAGTTATATTCCCTTAGCAAATGAAAATTATCAAATAAGTTTTTTCCTCGACATAGGGGGCGGGCACTTGTTTTGGCTTAAGGTTACACATTTCAAAAATGATTTTATTCATTAGCTATTTTGCACCTCCAGTATAAATCGGGTATAAATATTACAAAGATGTAAATTGTATCTTATAATATTCAATAAACATAAGTTAAATAAAATAGTGGCAATTTTGTTCAATTTATTTGTTTTGCTAATTTCATTAGCTGTAAACACAGAGAACAACTATGGTTAATACACTGCTGGGCAATTGCTAAGGACGGATCACAAATTGCTATGTAGCATAACATTAAGCGAGTCATGAGGCCTAGTAGGATAAAATATAGTTGCCACACTGTTCAGACATTAGAATAAAGAATATTTATTGTTCTGGAAAGTACAAAAAGCTGTGAAACATCTGAAAGAAAAAAAATGTTCATTTGATCTGCGTACGGAGAAAATGGAACAATGCCTCTAAAAGTCAGCAGGCATCTTAAAGAAAGGTATCAGTACGGGATATGTCCACCGTGGAGTGTGATGCAACATTCCACACGTCGTACCATACTTTGCACAACATTATCCAGCAGCTGTTGAGGCAATTTATCCCATTCCTCTGTGAGTGCACGGATGAGGGTGTTCTTGTTTGTCGGAGGATAGTTTCGACCAGCAACTTGCCTCCCCAAAGCATCCCACACATTTTTAATGGGGTTTAGATCTGGAGAACGCGCTGGCCATACGAGACGTTGAATACCCTCGCTGTCTAGACAATCCTGAACAGCGAGTGTTCGATGACATGTTGCGTTGTCGTCCATAAAAACAAATTTATCACCGACAGCACCACGGAAAAGACGAACATGAGGAAGTAGAACTTCATCAATGTATCGTTGGCCCGTCATAGTCCCATTCGCAACCACATGTAGGTGCGTGCGGCCATTGATCATGATGCCGGCCCACACCATGATACTGCATGTCGGATATCGGTCCTTTTCCTGGATATTTTCTGGACGATAAGCAGTACCACTCTCGCGCCAGATCAGTTGGCGTCTACAATCCGATGACAGACTGAACCTACTCTCATCTGAGAATAATACGCAAGCCCAGTCCTGTTCAGTCCAATTGTGATGCTCACGACACCATTGCAAACGGGCAGTACGGTGCTATCTGGTCAATGGGATACACACAACAGGTCTGCGTGCGTATAGTCCTCCTCCCCTCAAACGTCTGGCAACAGTTTTTCGGGAGATCTGCTTTCCTGAGTCAGCAAGAAACTGATTTGCCACCTGCTGAGCTGTGG